GGCTCCTGGGCCCCTCGGACACCCAGAGTCTGTGGTCACCCGTTTCATAAAGCGCTTCACCCGCCCTGAGTCCTGGCCGATGGCTTTTGCAACGAGAACCCGGCCCGGGCCTCAGAGGGCGGCCCAAGTGCCCTGCAGGCCTGCCTTTCCCAGACCATAGCTTTCACCTTCTAGTTATACATTTCCCTGCTCCAGCGCGAGGGCCACCGCCTGGCGGGGGGGAGGAGGGCAGCTCGCACGCACGGGCACGCATGCACGGGCACGCACGCACAGACTTGGGTTTGCTGTTGCCAGCGCCCTGTCTCCCTGGCCTCACCTTCTCCAGGCCCATTCTGTCCTCTGAGTGTCGCTACCTGGTTCCCTGGCAGGTGACACGCCTGGTCCTTGGCAGGTGACACGAACAGCACTTCCCATCCTGGGAGACTGTCATTATTTCTAAAAACCAGGATTAGGAAACTGCCCAGTCATGGGTGCTCCTGTTTCAGGTCTGTACCGGCCCGTTCGCATGCACGTACGTGATTGCAACCAGCTCCAGGCCTGTGGGAACATAGGTGTCTTTTGACCTCCACCTGCAGGCGGGACTGGGTCATGACCACCCAGGGACCGATTCTCGCAGCTGACAAAGGAGGCCCCAGCTGCTAAGCTGGCCCCTGTGCACCTGCAGGCGAGGCCGGCTGGGAGGCTAAGGCGGGGCCTGCACCTGACCCAGGTCCGGAGGGAACGTGGAGCAGGCGGACAGGCGTTGGTCTGAAAGGATCCTGAGGATGGGACTTCCTGGGGACCCGCTCTGACGCGGAGGCTGCGCGAAGGAGAGCTGGTCACTCTACACCGGGTCCCCCGGGGCTCCGTGCCTACAGGGACCACGGGACTGGCCCGCGTCCGCTCCTTGCTGCCTCCCCACCCCATCCCTTCTCCCCTGCCACTCAACTAGATCCTTTCCATTAAGGCTGGAGTCCGCGGAGAGGTGGCCAGGAGGCCGGCACACACCGCGGAGAGGACGGGCTAAATCCAGGACAGCCAGACCTGCCGGCCAGTGCTGCTCAGTGGCTGAATGTCGCCCCATGCACCACCCAGAGGTCGCCAGTTCAATTCCCAGTCAGGGCACCTGCCCAGTAGGGGGCGTGCAGGAGGCAGCCCATAGATGTTTCTTTCTCATCAATGCTTCTGTCTCTCCCTTCCTCTCCCTGAAATCCATTTAAAAAGCACAGGAAGGGCTGAGGACCGAGGCCCCGAGGGCTGAGACCCTCGAGTCTCTGTCCCTCCGCACTCATCGAGCCCTGCCCGGACGCCCCGCTGCAGACGAACGTGCTTCGGTCAGAGCTGACCAGCTCCCCCGGATGAGCGCGCCCCAAACCTGGATGCAGGAGATTAACACACACACTCGGCTGGTCCCTCTGAAAGGTTATGCTAATGCAGTTTAAAAATTGCAACGTAAATTATTCAGCAGTTTCAGGTGGAATGGCCTCTTTGTCTCGGTTTAAAAGCTTTATTAGAATTAGGGGCAATAAGCAATCAGAAGTTTTAGAGTTGAAAGAACTTGCATGGCCCAAATGTTTCTTATTTAATTGTAATTTATAAATCCTGAAAAAATAAATAACCTCTTGGGTGATTTAAATAACTCATTTTCTCTGACACTGAAATTCCATTCAGCTAATTTCAATAACTTCTCATGAATCTGAATTAGTCTTGCTCCTCGCTCTAATAGAAAACCATAATTCCAACTTGTAGCGAAAACACATTTGTTCCAAAGACGGCAAATGGATAGAAACACGAGGTTTCATCTTCCCGTGCTATCTGGTGCCCTCGGAGCTAAGAAAATTAAAGGAACCCCCAGAAATCCATTGGGAACGTTGAGGGAGGCCACCCACACCCCCGTGGGTAGGCGGGAGGGCGGTGAGGAGGGTTCCGCCTGTCCCGCTGCAGAATCTGAGGCCTAAATCACACTTTCCCACCTTCCATTTGCGCTGAATAGTATTTCTCCAGGTGAAAACACCTGAACGCCTCGCCCCAGTTTCACCTACACCTGGACCCCTCACCCTGGGACCCCCCCGCCCCCCAATTACAAGGTGCCTGAGACACCAGACTCACTTTCCCAAATCGGACCTGACAGTTCCATCACAACGAACCCAGTATCGTCCCCAATTCTCTCTGACCCGCCCAGGCAGCGAGGGCATAGTGTCACTGTCACCTGCCCCTGCTCGGAGGGGCCACTCTCATCCCTGGGGAGGGAGGGAGCCGGGACCAGGCCAGGACGCGGGATGGGTGGCCGTGCAGTGAGGAACCCAGGTAACACGTGTTTGAGGGCGTTTTCAAGGTCACCTCGAGTCACCTTAGTAACCAAACTAAATTCCGAGTTCAGTTGTCGGGACAGAAGTGTGTTCTTAGCCCATCAAAACAAGCTCCTTTGTTCAGAGGGCGCTCCCTGCACTGGGCACTGTCTGGCCCCATGAGGTCATCTCGCAGCCTCACGCCCGCCATGAGGGAGGGGTCGCCCGCTGACAGAGGCAGCACCTGTGGGGTAAGTGATGTGTCGTCCCACCCGTGGCCAGCAGGTGGTGGTGCAGGCCGACTTCGAGCCTCAGGTCCTTGTGGGAGCCCTGGTCCCCCGCACCGCCCCTCAGGGGCCTCAGCTCCAGGTTCTGGGAGGAGGCACCTGAGACCAGCCCTCTGGCTGGGAGCAGCTCCTTCAGCTTCAATGTGCCAGTTGCCCAGTGTGGGTGCCCCCTCTGCTGGCCAGGTGCGCTCCCAGGAGTGGCCAGGTCCCTAGCGGCCACACATGCCTGGGAAGGGTGGGAGGGGCCCCCACAGGCCAGGCGATGAGCCCCTCCCCGCTCCCAGGCAAGTGTGGGGCCGCAGCCCACTGGGCCTGGCGACTATCCACACAGAAGCGAGCCTGCGTCCACGGTGCACTGGCCCCGGGGCCACTCTCGGCGGGGGCTGAGGTTTGACGGGCAACCCAGCTGGAGTCTGGGGCCCTTGGGAGCTTGGGGACACTGGGGACAGGTGGGAGAAGAGGACAGTGGCCCGGGACCGGGAGGACAGAGTCCGGTCCTGTGCCTCGGGCTGGGGTCATAGCGGACAGGCTGCCCGGGGGCTCTGACGGCCCGGCCCTCCAGCGCGCGTCCTCCTGGTCAGCCTCCTGGTCAGCCTCCTGGTCCGGGGCAGCAGAGCCACTGCCGGGAGGCGAGGGAGAGCCCCCGGCTGCTTCTCCACAGCACAGCCTCCAGGCGCGAGCGGGGAGGGGCTCCTCCTCTGAGCCGACCGGAGTCCCAGGGAAGGGCCTTCGACAGAGTGCACGGGCCACACACAGCGACACCCCCGGGTCTGACACTGCCCTGCCCCAGTCACTCAGCTGACCGCCAGAGCAGAGCCAGACACGGTGGGGAGGACAGGCGGGGGGAAGGGGCCTCCGGGCACAGCCAGGAAACACCCCTCCGGTGCTCACGACAGGATCCAACACCAGAGAGTGGCCACCCTGACGTGGATTCCACGAGCCACGGCTGACTCGCCAGACGTGACCATTCCAACCCACAGGCCCAAGGACCCAGCCCCATCGGCTGCGTGTGGAGAACCGGCCCATTATGGCAGCAGCATGAGGCAGACACAGAAGTTTCCGGAAGTGCGGCTGTGTGCGACGAGGGAACTGCGTATAGACCGTGGACCCGGAAGCAACGCCCGGTTAGGGCCACCTCCCGCGCAGTTGACAGTCTACGTGTAACTAGAGCCGGGCCTCCACACGACAGTCCCAGCCGCCGTCACCCGGAACAGTGTGGGTTACACCGCACAGGCAGTGGAGCTGTGGTCCAACGACAAAACCCGCGTCTGGCCCAGGCTGGGCTGCTCGGCTGGTCGGAGCGTCACCCCGACACGCCACGGTTGCAGGTTCGATCCCCAGTCAGGAGTGTACAGGAGGCAACCAATTCATCTCTCTCTCCTGCGTGTGGAGAACCGGCCCATTATGGCAGCATGAGGCAGACACAGAAGTTTCCGGAAGTGCGGCTGTGTGCGACGAGGGAACTGCGTATAGACCGTGGACCCGGAAGCAACGCCCGGTTAGGGCCACCTCCCGCGCAGTTGACAGTCTACGTGTAACTAGAGCCGGGCCTCCACACGACAGTCCCAGCCGCCGTCACCCGGAACAGTGTGGGTTACACCGCACAGGCAGTGGAGCTGTGGTCCAACGACAAAACCCGCGTCTGGCCCAGGCTGGGCTGCTCGGCTGGTCGGAGCGTCACCCCGACACGCCACGGTTGCAGGTTCGATCCCCAGTCAGGAGTGTACAGGAGGCAACCAATTCATCTCTCTCTTTCTCTCTCTTTCAAACCAATTAACAAAAAAAACATATCCCCAGGTGAGGATTTTTTAAAAGGGAATCAACCAATGAATACGTAAATAAGTGGAACAACAAATCCATGTTTCTCTCCCTCTCGCTCTAAAAATCAATTTTTAAAAAATCCTCTAAAAAGGAAAAACTCCATGTCTGAGTGGACCTGCGCAGCTCAAACCCGTGACACACGTGTGCGTGTGCTCCTGGGGGCGTCTCCTCCTCAGCCTCCTGTAGCTGCCTCTGGGTGTCCGTGGCTCTACAAAGGGCTGTAGAACGACCTGAGGAAGTGAATGTCTGGCCCTAGAATCAGACCTCTTGCTTAGCCATGTGAAATCGGACAACCATTAGCATTTAAAAGTCTGAAATTTCCCCCCAGAAATACTTTCATTTCAGAGGGACGTTCACACAGAAAACCCAAATCAGGCTGATCCGCGTGAACGGCTCCCTGGAGCCCGAGGGACTCTGGGGCAGAGGCAGCCTCGGGCTCCCTCATCGAGTGCACAGGACGCAGAGGGGACTGGACAGCGATTTTATTTGCAGCCGCGACGAGCTCGGTCGGTCTCCGGGACGCAGGGACCTCAGGCCCCCGCCAGCCTCTTCTTGATGAAGTGGACGACCAGCCGCTGTGGCCGCTGCTCGAACTTGGCCAGCAGGTCCTGGGGGCTGGAGACCTGGTCCCCCCGCAGGCGGTCCAGTAAGGTGACGCACACCACGGCCGCTGCGGAGGGCAAAGGTCCCGTCAGCGGGAAGGGCAGGGCTTCCAGCTCAGTGCACCGACCAGACAAGGAGCCACCTGCCATCCCCAGGAGACGGGGCGACCCACAGGCATGTGGACGGGTGGCGAGCACAGAGGGTCTGGGGCCTCCTCCTCCTTCCGCCTTCGCTTCCCACCGAGTCCCAGGCACATCCCCGGCTGGGAGGCAGGGCTCTCAAATCCAAGGCTGAAAGCCAGACCCACCGCAGGGTTGGTGGTGGCCTTGCTGCCCAGAAAACCTGAGGGAGCTGGTGCCACCGTCCTCAGCCCACCTGGTGGCCCGGGGCTCCCAGATACGGAGAATCCTGCCCTCGGCCACATGACCATCACAGGCGTCACCCCGTCCAGCACAGGCTCAGGGACAGGGCGGGCGGAAGGCAGACGCTGAGGGCGG